GAATAGTTCAGCGCTAGAGATTTCATAAGTTTTTATTCCAACTTTTAAAAAATGGACTTGGTGCCGAGTATCCGGACTCGGACCCGGTTTTTTCAGCCGGGTACCCGGAATCAGAGACTCGGCATAAACTGTTTCCAGCACATCTCTAATATTTATATCTATATATATACATATCTCTATATATATCTATATATATATATATATATATATATATATATATATATATATATATATATATATATATATATATATACATGTAAATATATATATATATATATATATATATATATATATATATATATATATATATATATATATAAATATATATATATATATATATATATATATATATATATATATATATATATATAATATATATATATATATATATATATATATATATATATATATATATATATATATATATATATATATATATATATATATATATATATATATATATATATATATATATAGATATATATATATATATATAGATAGATAGATAGTTGTTCCTTATACAATAAGTATTTGTTGTTAAAATATTGTTTGCATTTACATCTTCCAAGTCATTTTATTCCATATGTCAGCAACTTGGTTAGCAAAACTCTAATTTCTTAAATCCAAGCGACAAAATTGTTTGCGCATTTTATAAATATGACTTTGAGCGTTGCTATTGTTGTTAGTCATATAGAACATAATTTGTTCTGATTGTTTTGTACAAACAAGTTTATGAAAAATATTAAAACAAGTTATTAAGTCATTTTTAAGAAGCCAAACTTCAAGTGACTCAAAACCAAACAATTGTAGTCTATTACAATAGGACAAATTTCCTAATTTTCTTTGTAACTTTTTGTTGTTTCTACTTTAGTTTTTAATTTTGTAATTTTTTGGTAAGTATGTAATTTTTCTTAACATTTACCAGCAAATTTGTTATATGCTTTTTTGTACGTAATGCTATTAGTATTTAGTATTATCTTTTCCATATGAATGCTTTATCATTTTACATTTTCCTGATATGCCTCGGATACTGTTTTGTTTTTTTATAATTATGAATCCTTTTAATTGTAACAAATCAATAAATACCATTGTTCCAATAATCTTCAACTTTTTTTTTTTTGTTAACTTACCTTCCAAAGGCCAAGAATGCCACTACACGCATAGTGGCATTCTTGGCCTTGAGAAGGTAAGTTAACAAAAAAAAAAAAAGGAGAATTTAAAGTCCCAATAGATATTAGATAATTTAGACCGAAAACCAACATAAATAAACAACAAAGGAGACAGATAAAAGAAATTTTGTGAAATGTTGATATGTAAAAAATATGACTTTGTAAACATGAGCTAGTGTTCTGTAGTGTTGCAATGTAAACTTTACCGGTAACTTTACCTGTAACTTTGCAATAAGTTTCGACATTTTTATAATACAAGCTCATTAAGGTAATTTGTTTAAATAAAGAATTTGTTTATAATTTCAAAATTAACCTGTTTTAAAATAAAATTTACCTTTCAATTTCAGGTAACTTTTTTCATATCCTTTTTTTTATATAAAAAATTAGTTCATATCTTTGATATGAAAAGATTAGATCATATCATTGATATGAACTAATTACAAAACAATATTAAATATTGCTACAAACTGAAATAGTTATTTTGCAAGTTAATATATCTATGTCATCTATGGACTTTTTCGAGAAAGCATGGATGGCTCTGTTTTAAAGGCTTTGGACAAAGTTATGAGTATGAGAAATGCAGCCATAATATTTGGCTTCAAAAGATCAACTTTCATAGACAGAAGTAACGGCAAGCAAATTTAAAAAAATGGCAAACCAACAAAGTTGAGCAACAACATCGAGGACATGTCAGTGAAAGTTTTAATATTTATAAGTAATATCAGTTTTAGTTTAACTAGTGCTGTCATTGAATTGAATTGTCATTGTCTAACTAATTGAATTATTCAAATCAAATGTGTTTTTGATGGCATCTAATCAAAAAGAACTCTGTTCTTTTTTTTTCCTAGTAACTCCCAACTTAATAGTGGTTGCTTGCAGCCTTGTTGGGAGTGAATGCAAATAATAAAAAAAAATAAGTATTACCTGGCAAGTAATAAATAAGTATTATTTGCCTGGTAATACTTAATTTTTAGATGTCATTGTGATAGAAGCCATTGCTTAGAACTTCAAATAATATGCTGCAACACTGCATTTATAAGTAAATTTTGGGAAACCCTAAACAAACATTTCATTCAAAATGGTTTAATAGATCTCACAAAACCTAGCTACCCTAAGTTGCTTAAACAGCTCAATGACCAAAGCTACTTTAGTAATAATGTGCATATAACAACACTGCCTATACCAGAAATTACTATTCCAGAAATTTCTTCAAGTATATAAAAGCATAGAACTTTGAATGAAAAGTTTACATTATGACTTCTTAAGAAACTTTGATAAAACTTACAAACAAGTTTTTTTTTTTTTTTATTGTCAGATGGTTATGGGGCTGATTTAATTAGGAAATATATATATATTTTTTTGATTAGCTGCATTTTTGATATCATTATAGTGCCATTTGATAAAATTAATTGGGATTTTATTACTATTGATATAGATTTTTGGTATATGAATATAGATTAGATTTCTATAAATTTTTAGCAGACTGTTATCATTTTATTTATGTCTTAATTATTAAATAGTTTAAACCAGTTGATACTGTTGAATGCTATAGTTAGATTTAAATACCTTAAACACATTGAATTTGTACTCAAAGTACCTTTTAGTACATTTTGATAACTTTTTGATTTTTTGTATGGTGTGTGAGTTTAGGTAAAAACGCAAGTGTTGAATAGAGACAATTTTTTTTTGATAGTTTATAAATGTTAATCTATACCCTGTACATCTAGTTCTTTGAAGGTAAAATTGTAGATAACGTTAATTGTAATAGATGTTGGGTCATTTGTAATTACTAGATCAATGATGTTGTTGTTCAGAGTTGATTCTACCACTAATTGTACTTAGAAATTGTTATTCAGAATTCTAATTTCTATTCTTGTCTGATATAATAATGCAATCGATAAATATAGATTTTGTTTTAGTTTTAATTTCACACCAGATAAATCTAATTATAGAATCATTTAGTTGTTTAATTTTTATTTTTAGTGATAGAATGCCTTTACCACACCTCCACATTTTTTACTAGTTTGATTTTTATTATAATGAGTGTAGTTAGGCCTTACTACAGTTTAGCAAAAATTATCGATGTGTGAACCCTGTGACAATTGGTTGTATGGATCTTGCTGTTCTACTTAGGTTGACAATATGCACAAGAATTGCTAATATACATATAAAAGCTTATCTAAAGCAAATTAGTATTTTTTTGTAAATTGAAAAAACCTTTTTGACTTGATTAAAAAATATTTTTCAATTTTACTAACCAATGGCGTAGTGAAAGTGATAAAGGCCATAGTAATAAAGAAGTTGGATAATTATAATGAAAATAAAAAATAATTTAATAATTACTTAAAAAAGATTTTTTTTATGTGCTCCTCATATGTATACTCAAAAAAGAAAAAAATGAAATAATATCACCTTTGATAATACCCTTTAAAATTCTAGACAAATGTTATTAATAAAAATTCCAACTTAGAATTTTATATTTTAAAATCTCCAATCCACGTTATTGTAGTGGGTCTATTAAGGCATTTTAAGCAATTTATTGGAGTTTTGCTTATCGGATTTTTAGTGGACCTTTAGTGGTAACTGTTATAAGTGGGCAGCCAATAAATTTCCAACATGTGATGTATGTGGCTAGTCATTGTCAAGAACTTTGTCATTGTTATTGTCCTTCTTACTTTTGTTGTTCTCTTGCTATAATCTTTATTTAGGGTGTGAACCCGGGGCGATGCCCTCCTTGGTTACTCATTAACTGATATTATATCATAATTTTACAATGAAACAACATTTAAAAATTAGTTTTCATTATTTGTGGCGTTAAGTTTGTGATGCATTATTAGAATTTATATAGTGACCAACCTTACAAAATAGTATTAGAAGTTTGGTCAAGGTAGATGTTCTCATATAAAATTAGATATCAAGTTCTAACTTTTATTTTTCATTTTTTTATTTTTTTTTAATTATATTTATATATTATATTTATATTTATTTTTACAATATTAAATATCAATATAATTGTCTGCATGTTATTTATAATAAAAAAAAAAATTTTTATGTGTGATAAATAAATGTTCTAAGCTTAAGACCAAATTTACCAATAGAAAATTTTGGCGATTTTACCATATACAAAACCAGCTATTATACAAAAAAATCCCTAATAAATTTTTTAGAAAGTGTAGTTAGAGGTATCATAGAAAGTGTTAAATAGAGGTATCATGTTTTTGTTTGTGTAAATGATTTTTATAAGATCATAAATTACTTTCAATTTTCAGTTCCAGAAAAATAAAAGTTTGGAAAATAGGCTCTATAGTTTTAATATTCTTTGGCATTCATAAACATGTTTGTTGATCTATTATCTGAAGTGTTATCATTAATAACACAGATTTTTGCTATAACTGATAATGCTAAACACTCTGGATAATAGATCACATTTTTGCTATTACTGGTAATATTTATAATATATGGTTTTTTATCTTCCATGTAGTGCCATCAGATGTCACAAAGCTTTCTACTTCTTGTCAACATAACTTCCAAATGTTTCATCAAATACCTTTAAGTTTAAGTAATCCTGTTTTTTTTTTCACAAGTCACAATTAAAAATTTGGCTAAAGTGAGTTGTCTTAATAATCTTAATGGTTGCTTGTAAGCTACTACCCGTCAACCCTTCAACTCCAAAACAACCTTTGCCAGACAAGGCCATAACACAAAGAAGCATATTGATAATTAAATTTTCCTTATGTAAAAACAAATATAAAAAGTAATAATATTTAATGAAAATTATTAATAATAATTAAATTTTTAAGTTTAAAATTTTTTATCCTGTTCAAATTTTAGTCTTGGTTGACTCTCAGTTAGCGCCAACAACATGGCATGAAGTTAACACTAATGTAAACAGCCCAAAACTAATACGATATATTGCAATTGAAAAATTGTTACCTCAAAATAGAGTTAGACGCTCAATTGTTAATACTACTGATAGTTTTATGGTTGTGATTGGCGAAAACACAACTTGTGCTGAAATAAAGACTAAAAAACTCCCCTCAATTTGTAATGGGCCTTTAAAGTCAGGATTCACTTATAGGTATTATTAGATTTTTGTTGATTTTAAGTACTTTATTTAACAAGTCATAATAAAATAAGCTAATGAAGAAGCATTTTATTTCAGATTGTGTTTAAATTAATGTTAAAATTTAAAATAGTTAAAACTTGAAATAGTTAAAAGTCTCTATGTCTATTTCACATATTGTTTATTACATAGTGTGCACTATAAGTTGTACCCAATATAACCAATCGTGATTTTGCATTTTTTATGTAATTAACTTTTTATGTAATTTAATTACATATCGTGTCAAAGTATAAGTTTGTGTACAAAGTGATTTTAACTCTCAATAAACTCATCAAATTTTTCTGTAACTTGAAGTGCTTTTATAATTCTTGTTAATATCTAACATTTAGTTACCTTTTTCTCATAAAAGTCTATCTATTTTCTTTATATCTCGGAGGTTTTATTTCTATAGAAATTTACTCTATATTCTTAAGTTACATTTATTTCAAATTATATTCTTAAATATATATGGAATAGGTGAACCTCTTTACTTATGGCACAGTCAACTTTTCTTAGAGAAGGAAAACTTTAGTATAAGAGCACCATTTTAAATGTAGATAAGTTTGTAAATCTGATGGTTAAAGAAGTATCATAAACTCACAAAGCATTTAATTATTTGAAAACTTAAATATTTTTGAGAAATAAATTGGGTTTAAAGAAGTTGTGCAAGATCTAGATTTTCACAATCATACCTGAATAATTAGAATATTATTTTGCAAAGGAAAAATAACAATAACCTACTATATATAAAACAGTTTATAGCTTATAAACTTATTTGTCACCAATTAATTAAAAACACAAATAAGTTTGAATTATAGTAAATCAGAAAAATTGAAAAGAAAAATAAATACAATTATAAGTAAATGGAAATACAATAAATAAATGGAAATACAATTATACTTCATGAATGACATATTTGTTTTCAATAATGATAGTGTAGTAATGCTTTACATCATCGCATGTGATGATACTTCTAAAAAATGTTCAAACAAAATTTAATGTTTAATCTAGAGTTTAGCTGGTTGTATCTACATATGAAGAGAGTGCTCAATCTTGTATTGGGTTTTCTAGCCAAAGCATTTGCTGTTCAATGTATTTTTTGTAAAATCTTAAAGATTTTTTTAATCCATTGCCTTCTTTTCATATCTCAGCTACATCTTTAAAGATAAATTGTTTCATAAGAATTGAGAATATTTGTTGATATGTAGTTCTAAAAAAAGTTTGACTTTTTAATCAAATTTTGTTGTCTGGTTTTGCAAGACCAGAACTGATTTTGAGCAGTAATAAGATCCATTCATGAGAGATGGAATATCAGGCTATAAAGTTCTTATAGTTTTCTGCTCTGTAAAATACCAGCATTAAACTATAACTTCCGTACACTTGACGTGATATTTGATTAGTTAATTTAATTAATTTCAAATTAATTTATCAAACCCATGAAAAAACATTCAGGTATATAAAAATTAAACTAGTCATGAAATTTCTCCGCACAAAGGCCTTATTCGTCAAGGTTCGTGTTATGGAATTACAGAGTTGAGTTTTGAAGTTAAAGAGTTGTAAGAGAGGTTTGTAACTACAACTAAAGCCTCTTCGACTGCAGTGACCTTCATAAGTTGTTAGATAATTGTATCTTATATCTTGCGCAGCTGCTTTTTCTAATAGAAAGGTCCTGGAAATAGTAAAATTAACGCAATACTTATCTAAATATTAATACGGTAATGAATATTAGTGCGCATAGTTACGCCTATTGTTCGTTTTGTTAATTACGGTTCTGCATTATGTAAAATAAACTGTTTCTTAGTTTTTAAGTTGTTTCTAGACTTTTCTAAGCGCAGTTATATATTCCATGCGGTCTTTCGAGTAAAATTAGCAAGCAATTTGGAGCTGATTCACTTATTTTCAAGAAGAATTAATATTGTTAATTTTTTTAAATAAAAATTTAAATAATTTTTAGTTTGTTGTTGCTTACTTTTATTTTTTCTAATTTTTATAGTCTGTTTTTATTTTTTAAAAGAAGTTAGAACTAAAATGTTTGGTAAAATAGTTTTTTTAGTAAAATGTTTCTCTTTTAGTAAATTGTTTCATTTCGTCGTTAGTCTTTTTAGAACATTTTAAGCATTGTTTTATTTTTTAGAGCAGTTAAGAGAAGCTGATGTTTTTTTTAGTAGGTTCAATTTGTTTTCTTATTTATAGGTTAAGATTGTTTTTTGCAAAAAGAATTATATATAAAATAAAGTTTTATATATGTATTTAATGTAAAAAGTTAAATAAAATAAAACTGCTATTTGTGTTCATGTAAGCTTATATACATAAGTTTGCGTTTATTTTAGTCTATTTTATATTTCTCTATATCTATACTATATGTATATTTTCTCTTAGCAAAAATTATTAAGAATAGAAAAATAAAAAAAATTCTTCTGGAATTTGTCCAAAGAATGCTGTGTTATGCTTCATTTTAAGGTATCTAAACATGTGTTTATTTTTCGTTTTTTAGAATAAGTTAGAACTAAATTAACTGGTAATATAGTTTTATTAGTACAATGTTTCTTTTTTAAGAAAACTGTTTCAGTTTTGTCATTAGTCTTTTTAAAACATTTTAAGCAAGTATTTTCTATATTTTTTATAGCAGTTAAGAGGGACTGATCGCTTTTTTAGTAAGTTTAATTCATTTTCTCATACATAGGCTAAGATTTTCTTTTATAGAAAGAATAATGAAAATAAAATTTTATTTATGTATTTAATATGAAAAGTTAAATAAAATAAGACTGTTATTTGTGGTCATGTAAGTTTATATACATAAGTTTGCATTTATTTTAGTCTATTTTATATTTCTCTATATCTATATTGTATATTTTCTCTAAGGAAAAATAATAAGAAATAGAAAAATTAAGAAAATTTGTTGTGGAATTTGTCGAAAGAGTATTGTGTTATGCTTTATTTTAAGGTATCTAAATATATATTCATTAGAAGTTTTTAATTTTGTTTTCTAATGGTTTATTCTTTTTCTTTACTTTAGATGAATATATACTGACTGACACATAACTTCGTTTTTATTAACAATGTTGTGCATTGTAGCCTGCATTCTTTATTACATTAAAAATAATTAATGCTAATAAATGTTGTTTTATAGTTGTTAAAAGTTTGCATATAAGTTTGCATGTATATTATGATCAAAGTTAAAATTTTTTTGATAAATACGTGTATTTGGTGATATATGTTATATAGTTGTTTTGTAAATGTGTTTATATAAATGTGTTTTTATAGTAGTATGATATGTATTATATTTAATTTGTACATGATTGTTAAATGGGGTGTTTTTATATGCTAATTAACAAAAAAAAAAAATATTGCGTTTTATAATTAGCATCTATGTTTATATAATGTTGTTTCCATGATTTCAAAGTGTAGTGACTTGGCAAACGTGTAGAGCAAGATTTATCAACCTTACCAGTCAAGCGATGTTACGGCTTTAGGTCTAAGTGTTGCCTAGCCTTTAATATAACTATTCTGAAAACACATTGCATAATCTTTAATAATTTTTTGCGTGATGTTGTTACCTTTGGCATATCTTTACGTTGGTGTCAGCTGTTAAAAATGAATAATAGGTAGTTTCAATACTAGAACTTGCTGCTTTTATTTATTTACTAAAATTCATATAAGACATCATTTCGCTATAAATACAATTTGTTTATCATGAAAAAACAATATTTAGCAACTACTACTACCATTTTTAAGTAGCTTCTAGGCTTTTTTGATGCTTTTCTTATTTAATTGGTTTTATAAGCAAAGTTTGCAAGCAAATTTGAGCTTAAAAGTTTTTCAGCTTTTAAGGAGAATCTTTATTAGTTTTAATAGAGTAGTTTTAATAAATAAATGATTGTTTCTTCTTGGTTTACTTATTTATTTTTAGATTCTTACAAACTAGCCAACTTAGCAAAGCAAGATTTGTTTTATTTTCAAGTGCAATTGGAAAGAGCTAAAGTGCTTTTTAGTCACTTCAAATTAATTGTTTCTTTTTTTTAAATAGAAGGGTTAATAATAAGAATTTTCAGACAGTTGAACTGTTACTGATTTGAGTAAGTGTAATATTTTGTTTCATTTTATATTAGATATATATCTTATGTATTTAACATGGAAAACTGACTGCAGTTTTTGACAGGCAAGTTTATATACATAAATGTGCCTATATATCAGTATATTTTATATTTCTCTGAATCTATATAAATATTATCTCAAAGAAAAAATTAAAAAGAATAGAAAAAAATTTGAATATATATACATTTATATATTATTTTAGACAGACATTGCTTTACTTTTTATACAAGATTCTGAATTTATTATTTTTGTGCATTAAGATTGTGCCTGAAGGTAAAAATAACTTTGCATTGTAGTCTAAATTCTTTGCTAAATTAAAATGTCATTAAATTTTGTTTTATATTTTTCAGTTGTAAAAATATAAAACAATCATTTATTCAGTTATAACAGTAGTATAATCACTGGTAATATGTTTAATGATAACATGTGTATAATATTAGGCTCGAAGAAGTTATTAGTGTAAATGGTTATAGGTGACTTAAAATTGTTGTCATATAAAAGAAGTAGATATAGGCGTGATAAAATTATTGGTCGTTTAAATATAAGAAATTTTGCTTAAGATTTTCATTTCAAAAATTTACTGTTAAAGGTTGTGAGCACATTTTGGATGTATAACTTTATTTATCATTATTTATTTTTTTTCATAGTTTTTGATAAATATATCTATCATTCAATAGTTGTAAAATGTGTTTATATGTGTTACATAAAGTCATATTTGTTTATAGTTGTATATATGTTTAAGCTATAAAAGCCAAGACAACAATTTATATCTTAGTTTGATTTTTTTTTAGTATTGTTAATGCTTTTGTACTTCGAAACAGATTTTATAGTTACATTTTCGATAAATCTTTAACTGCAATTTCAAAATAGGTTACTATAAATAGGTAAATCGACTTTTGGTAATTGTGTAGTGGTTTTTGTTTTTTTTTTCTTTGTAA